TATATATATATTATTATATTATATACATGTATATGTATATATATATGAATATATATATCTATATATTATATGTATATATATCATATATACGTATATGTATATATATTTATATATGTACATGTGTTCTATGTATATAAGTATAGATATATGCACACACACACAGTATATGTATATGTATATATATATATATATATATATATATATATATATATATATATATATATATGTGTGTGTGTTGTGTGTGTGTGTGTGTGTGTGTGTGTGTGTGTGTATATGTATATATATAATATATATATATATATATATATATATATATATATGTATATATATATATATATATATATACATATATATACATGTATATATGTATATATATGTAATATATATATTTATATATTATATGTATATATATATATATATATATATATATATATATCATATATACGTATATGTATATATATTTTATATATGCACATGTGTTCTATGTATATAAGTATAGATATATGCATACACACACACACACACACACACACACACACACACACACACATATATACTATATGTATATATATACATATAAAAATATGAAAGTAAATACCTTTTACAGGGATGAAATAGACCATGCAGAAGAGGCAAAACTTGCTGATGCCATGAAAGCAGATGGCTACAAACCCACAACGAAGAAAATTGATATGTCTCAGCTTTTCCAAATATTGACTGTCAAATCTCCCGAAAGTAAGTGTATACGATAAGTGAGTTCGCATTGGTGTAATACAAAACAACCTGCACATTTAGTTTTCTCACCAATATATTAATCTTATCTGCTTGGGTCTTCTCGCATTCCAGAATATGCCAACAAGACTCTGTATGAAGTCCTCCACGACAGAAACACGTGGCAAGAGGGGGTCGTGAACCATCTGCAGAGGGAGGTCGAACGCGGGGAGCACCTCGCTTTCTGTTTACCGAGGAATGTCAATATGAACAGCATGAAACCCCAGGTAAATCTACGTTTGTGAATTTGTTTTTCTCTTTTGATAATGACAAAAATGTAAGCTTTTCATGTAGATGGGAGAAATGAGCTTCCTTACGGAAGATCAGACAATGTGGACGCTAAAGTCCTTTTGATGTAAAATGCTGTATGTTAAATGAGTAGCTTGAAATATTTGTATAATGCTTGTCCGTCTTTGGCTGACTCCTTGGGTTGTGCTGTAGGTTTACTTCTTATGTTGCCTTCAGGAATGTCTTTCTAGTTGTCTTCTCGGGGTATTTTTGTGCTGTCCTCTTCGATCGTTCTCTAAAGGCCTTTCGCACGTATGCAGTCTCGAACGCAACACTTGCAGAGCTGCGATTCATACATTATTTGAGTGCATAATTGCTCTACATTGTCTAGCCATCATCAGGGAAATGCGCGTAAAACGCGTGTGAAAACAATGCATAATTTTGTCTGCCTCATTGTGGGCAGGGGCCGTTGCAAAAATCAGGCAGGAGTGCTTTAAAAGCCATGCACCAGTCTCGGTGATCTACCAGCTATTGTGCTGCTTTTATTTTATTTTGGACAGCATTTGTGCAGTCACTGGGCACAGTATTAAAATTTTAGCCATTACTGCGGTTGCCCAACTACTGCACGGCAGCTGCACAATAAATGCCAGCCGAGTGCTTATGCCAAGGCATCATCCAACATCTCTGCAAAGAGATCCAGGTAGGCTTCTTTGTCTAACAACACCTCTATGGTCCAGCTGCAATACGATTGTACGCTGATTATAGCGTAGAAACGTTGTTACGCCCCCTGTGTTTACATGAGAACTGCACGGATGTCAATTACTGTACCTGTCAGTCACTTTGCGTCCACCAACTGAGCAGCATTCATTTAGCAACATTCTTTAATTCGGCCATGGAACTCGGATGCCGGCAGCTGTCGTGCGGCATCGTTATGGTCGTGAAACTTCCATCCACCATTCGGTCTGTGCTTGTCCAAACATCGCGCCAAACTCTGGACGCGGGGACGGGCCGCAGCACCGATTTCCAGCGATGCCAGAGAGAACCAGCGTCGTCGCGGTTTCGTCCCAAGGTCGCCTGCGTGTGAGGCTTCTTTCGGCTCGCAGATTGCCTTTCGTATTGTGCTCTGGAGTGATCTTTGGGCTGCTTGAGTTGCCTTCGCCTCCTCGGCTGGCCTCGAAGTTGTCTTCTTGGGTTACCCTTTGTGTTAACTCTTGGAATGCATTTTGTGATATTCTTCTTTAGTTGTCTTTCAAGATGTCTTTTAGTTGTCTGTTTGCGTTGTCCTTTAAGGCAACTGATAAATCGATATGATTCTTGAATTAGTTTCTTTGACATATTTAAGTATAACAGCACATCACCAGTGTTAATAATAATCATCACTTTCAGGAAATGACCTATCCCAAATTGAGGCTCTTAAACCTGAACCCAAGTCATGCAGTAAAAATCAAGGTAAATTCATACCTATTTTATATATTGGCCATTTAACAATCATTTGTTATTTCTCCGATAAATAAGGAAACCTGTCTTTTTTACACTTAACTGATATCATCTAATTTTAAAACTATGTCATGCATTTGAAAAAGATATTTCTGTTGCATTTTTACCAATTTATTCTATATCATCTATGGTAAGAATCTATGGTGTCTTTACTTCCTTCTCCATAACAGAGTTAGCTGGTTCTCTCATGCATCGCGCCGTCCTGGACACTGAGGGCAAATACGTCATGCTGTGGACTCCAGGGGAAGAGGATATTACTTTCGAGATCCAAGTGAGTGGGTGCGCTGGTCTGGATTGACTGCAAACTGTAGACAATCAAATTCTTGGCACATAGTTTTTGGATTCTTTATGATCAGGAAGCTAAACCCCTTATTAATTAATTTATTGCTTTATGATACAGGATTCCAAGTTCCTGTTATATAATGTCCCAAATACTTCATAAAAGACTGAAATCTCTTGTTTAGAATCTTGTAAGGACTTGCTCTAGAACAGAACTATCAATAAGTACTTGATCCAGTCCTTACATAATAAGAGATTTGGTCCTTTGTCATCCTATAACAAGAGATTTCAGTCTTTTATGAAGTATTTGGGACATTATATAACAGGAACTTGGAATCCTGTATCATAAAGCAATAAATTAATTAATAAGGGGTTTAGCTTCCTGATCATAAAGAATCCAAAAACTATGTGCCAAGAATTTGATTGTCTACAGTTTGCAGTCAATTCCAGACCAGCGCACCCACTCACTTGGATCTCGAAAGTAATATCCTCTTCCCCTGGAGTCCACAGCATGACGTATTTGCCCTCAGTGTCCAGGACGGCGCGATGCATGAGAGAACCAGCTAACTCTGTTATGGAGAAGGAAGTAAAGACACCATAGATTCTTACCATAGATGATATAGAATAAATTGGTAAAAATGCAACAGAAATATCTTTTTCAAATGCATGACATAGTTTTAAAATTAGATGATATCAGTTAAGTGTAAAAAAGACAGGTTTCCTTATTTATCGGAGAAATAACAAATGATTGTTAAATGGCCAATATATAAATAGGTATGAATTTACCTTGATTTTTACTGCATGACTTGGGTTCAGGTTTAAGAGCCTCAAATTTGGGATAGGTCATTTCCTGAAAAGTGATGATTATTATTAACACTGGTGATGTGCTGTTATACTTAAATATGTCAAAGAAACTAATTCAAGAATCATATCGATTTATCAGTTGCCTTAAAGGACAACGCAAACAGACAACTAAAAGACATCTTGAAAGACAACTAAAGAAGATATCACAAAAATGCATTCCAAGAGTTAACACAAAGGGTAACCCAAGAAGACAACTTCGAGGCCAGCCGAGGAGGCGAAGGCAACTCAAGCAGCCCAAAGATCACTCCAGAGCACAATACGAAAGGCAATCTGCGAGCCGAAAGAAGCCTCACACGCAGGCGACCTTGGGACGAAACCGCGACGACGCTGGTTCTCTCTGGCATCGCTGGAAATCGGTGCTGCGGCCCGTCCCCGCGTCCAGAGTTTGGCGCGATGTTTGGACAAGCACAGACCGAATGGTGGATGGAAGTTTCACGACCATAACGATGCCCGCACGACAGCTGCCCGGCATCCGAGTTCCATGGCCGGAACATTAAAGAATGTTGCTAAATGAATGCTGCTCAGTTGGTGGACGCAAAGTGACTGACAGGTACAGTATATAATGACATCCGTGCAGTTCTCATGTAAACACAGGGGGCGTAACAACGTTTCTACGCTATAATCAGCGTACAATCGTATTGCAGCTGGACCATAGAGGTGT